TTTCGAATATAGCTTGGTTTGGAAATTGATGCACCTCTAAGGAAAATCCATAGAAGAAGTAGAAATAAGGAGATTATTCAGGACAGATCTTTAAAACTGGTTTGACTATACTGTAAGAGAACAAAAAAATGCTAGTGAATGGAAACGTGACTTATGCGTTAACCACCCCCAGCATCACCATACTTGAAGATGGAAAGAAACGAAAAAGATAAAGGAGAACAAAGAGAGAACAATTTGATATGGTTGCATTTGGAGCAGGCATGCTTGTAATTTTTTTTTGGCTTCTAATTTAAACAAAAAAGACACAACAAGGACCAAAAAAGGGCATCACAATACTTGTGGAGGGTGAAAATGGCAACTTGGCTGCTATGTAAATGCTTTTTCCAGAGTTTTGGGGTATGAACTGGAGCTGTTTTCCAGAGAGAAGATAATGCTCTATATGAGGAAAAGCTTTGAAGGAGGAAAAGTGGTATTTTCAGCAGCCAGAGGCTGCACTTGGATACGTAGCATGAGGCAGGTTGGTACCTAACCAATTTCTAACTCACTTGGCCTGTTTGTCTCTGACACATCATGGAGCTATCTGAGCAATGATGTTCACATGCCTCAACTTATGCTGCGTAGGCACTAGGCATGCAAGTCATCTGGTCTTTCTTTATTTCTGAAGGTGACAAACACCCTGCACAGAAGTTCTGAAAAGAGCCCAGCTTCATGTGCAACCATTCAACTAATGCAACATTTTCAGCAGAAAGCAGCACTCAAAAATTTCCTGTGTGACCAGAGGCCACAAAAGCCTCTATGGACTCAGACTCCATCAAATACAAAACAGGTTGCAAAAGCAGGTCTTTCTCTTAACGTTTTCAAAAACATACCAAGAAGGGGAAATAATTAGAGGCGACTCCTCATAGAATGATATGTTATTGATAAGATTTTTCCCCATCTTAACAGATACATAGAAAAAATCCTGTGAAAGCCATTCAAAATACATAATTGAACAATTTAATGTGATATGATAGGATGTGACAATTCAATGTGATGTGATAGGAGCAAGTAAGGGATCACAGTGGGGTGTAACTGTCTTCACTTGACAATTCAGGACATAGAATTCCCTTTCTGGAATGGAAACTGTGATCACAAATCAGTTTTTATTTAATTACCTCTTAAATTCACATTTTTAAAATCTGAAGATTTACAATCTCTAATGAAAAACTCTATGATTTGTCTTCTTCTCCCTCACACACACAAGCTCATGTGCACACTGCTGTAATATGCATTTTCCTACTAAAACCAATTACAGATTTGTTACAGTGCATAATTATGTAGAAGATTGAATTTGTATTTTTCTTGGTATTTTATAAAATACCCTCAATAGGTTTCAAAACAATCTAAGTCAGTATTTTCTGAAAACTGCACTGTAGGTAGTTTCATGCTGATTTTGTTCTAAAAGATTACATGCGAGAAATGACTTGTGGTTAGATATGCCTAATATAAACTAAAGAAGATCATATGAAATGATGATGGAGCATTTGCGTTTTTTCCCCTCTGGACCTCTTTTCAAATTGAAATCCAAATTAATTTTCTACACTGGTCTTGAAATGCTTACTTACAAGTTTAGTCCAGCCTTGTAAAATTGGAAAGCTCCCAGGAATCATTTTGAGGAACAATTTACATCAAAAAAAGCTGTACTAGACAAATGATCAAGACACTTTTGTTTGTCTCACTGATTTTGAATTACCACTGTTTTATAGTAGACAGTGTCCCTTTTTTTTAAACAATAACTGGTTATTACTTGCACCTTCTTGCACAAACTTTTATTTTCCTTGTTTAACCCAAGCCCTTTCCAGCACAGCTCCATGACCGGTGAAATGCATATGCAATCATTAAGAGTTTGTTTATCTGCTTACTGTGCTAGCAATTAAAATGAGGTGCAGTGGGTGTTCCACCTCTCTACTGGGGAGATCGTTTTGTGAATCACCATGGGATTGTTCCCCCTTCTTTCAGATCCTTTAGCATAGCTTAAAGACAGCAGTAGGGTCTTGGTGATACATGCAGTGATAGAAACTGGTATGAAGAACACTGGTGTAAAATCACCTTGTGCATGAAAACACTCCTTGGAATATTTTAAATAGGAAAGAAAAGTCTAGGAACTGGCCATATCCCATACAGAAGTGGAAACATACTGTTAGGTTTGTATGTGTATCATCAAAATGATCTTTTGTGTCCTGATAGAGAATCAGACTTTGCTCCTCTTTCCTGAAGTTACCATTTTGAATACTTCTGGTCTCTAAAGAGGAAACAGAAATTTAACTTAGGTTATGAGTGCCAAACCTATCTGCCTCTCAGCACTGTACTTGTTTGGTACTTACCTACAACTGCCTCGAGATCCCAGCGCAGGAAAAGCAGCATGCTGTGCAAGGCTCAGACGAACGGGCCACGAACGGCGACAGAAACAATAAAGTACTTCGCTCTGTGACCAAGATGCAGCTGAAACAGAAGCCCCAACAGAACAACTGAATCTCTGTGAAACATATGGAACAAAATCCTTGCTGTCAACAATTTTTGCTATATACCCTAAAAGCATTATGCTTGGTAAGAAGTAACCTTTCACACTAGAGAGGATTGAGCCAAAGCCTTCAACAAGATAATTTACTTTGCATACTGTACTGTTTCCTTTCCCAAAGGCACCAGGAAACACAGCAAGTAGCCCTGCACAATAACTGTGAGACAGCTAAGTCACACCACTCAGGTTTAACACAGATAGCCCATAACTTCACCCAGAAACTTTAAAACACTTCCTTATTCCTATACTTTTCTTTCCCCTTTCTCTCTCAGGTTTAAAGGCTTTGCCTATCCTAACTGTTTGAGCCTTTGCACATCATTGCATTAACACTTTGTTTTGGTTATTGATGTGGTGGGAGACAGGTGAGATACATACTTTCCAACAGAATTTCACTAGTTGACTAAATATACCGTGAAAATCTATTTATTGAGTGAAAATATTCAACTGTATAAGCAAGAGCCTGACTGTGTAGGCAGGGAGTAAAATACCTGATCTTTCTGTGTATAAAACATAGGTCTCCCCAGGCCATGCTGTGGGCCAAAAGCTAAGCCCTTTTCCTGAGACTTGAGATGTTTTTGTTAACCTCAAGCCTTGCTTCTCCTACAAGTAACTCAGCTTCCTTAGCGACAAGCTGACACCTATTTAGTAGTGAGGGTTTTCTTGAAAACGGGTATCGTCAGCACTGGGGTTGTTTTGCTTACACTTTTGCCCAAGCTGTTTTATAACGCGGCGTGTCACCAGCGCACTCAGGCTTTTCTACAGGGTGCCTCTTTTTATTCTTTGCTTTTCTAAGCCTTTCTAAGCTTTTCTGGATAGGTCATTACAATGCCGTCATGCTGTGCTGCCAGCAATGCCAGCGTGATAGGAGGATTATAACCAGTACTGGTGGCTCTCCGGACACCGTTCCTGCTAGAAGCATCCGTGGCTGCAAACTTCATGCTCCCACTCATTTGACTTTTCCACAGCTGCGTATTTCCACCTGAACCCGCTCCTGCTGGGAATGCATAAGCCGTGTTAAAAACCCCCGACACCCTGCACTGCCCTTGACCTGCAGTGCCATCCCTGGCAGCGGTGACCCACAATCCCCCTCGCAGCAATGCGATTCCACTTTTGAGTGGAATTCAACAGCTTTTCATCAAAAAGAGCCAAAACCGCCCTCGAAAGCCCCTTCTTGGCTTCACTCACCCAGCGCATCGGCCGGTGTGGAGAAGGACGATGCAGCCCGTGTTGGTGGCCAAGCCCTGCCAAAGCGGGCTCAAGGCAGGATGAGGATCAGGGTCTTTAGCGTTGTGAGGGGCCATAAATGGGTCAAAAAGGCGGAGTTTTAACACATGGGTGCAGCCCTGATGGGAGGGAGCCCGGCCTGAGGGGAGCCACCGCCCCAGGCTTGGCGGGAGGGTCGCGAAGGCCCTGAGGACAGCCTATGGCTCGCTCGGGGCGGCTCCCCGCCTGCC